AGTAATGAAAAACTAAGAAAATAAATATCTAATACTATTGTCATTCCTAGTATTGAATTGAATACTTTTTGTTAACATTTTTATTGATTTGATTTTGCTTTGAAATTTATTTGAGTCACTAACTTTTATGGGCTATAAAACATATTTGACCATTCAAAAGTTCTAAATTAAAGCTTGAAATAATACATTAAAAGAGAGAACTATGAAAAAGGTTAAAAAATATTTATAAATTACATTACAATAATTATTTTTATGTATAAAATATTTTAAAACTTGTATACATGTAATGTCGGGATGGTTTGGTTTCGGTTTGGCTTTTTTTAGTTAAAACCAAACCAAACCAATTATGGTCGGGTTTTTTTTTTCTAACACCAAACCAAATCAAACCAAACCTTAGTCGGGTTTTTTTTCTCGGTTTGACTTGGTTTATCGGTTTGGTGCGGTTTTTCGGTTTTCTTTGTACACCCCTAGCTGTAAACATTTATCAAAGACCTAAGAGAACCCTTGTGACCCAAGGGAACTGGGCGTAGGTACCACACCTGTACTGAACTAGTATAAAAACTGTCATGTCTTCTTTACCTTTTTGCTCATTTAGTTCATCTCCTCTAAAATCATTCGCTGTGCAAAGTCTAGTCGACTAAACTTACACTTAGTCAACTAAATTTTTTAAATCGATTACAATTCACCCCTCTTGTAAATTCAAATATATCCTCACTAATTAATGAAAAACTAAGCCAGATAATATTGAAGATCGTTAAAAAGTAGATTCTTCTCTACTACGTTAAAAATTCTTTTCTTTTCTTTATGTATAGAGACATATTGATATCGTCTATAAACGTAGAAAAGGTGAAAATTATACAACAAAGACAGTAACATTAAAATAGTGAAAGAAAGCTTACGTTCTATCCTTATTTTCTCTTCTCTCTTTTACTCGTTTAATTTATTGTAAAATTACTACTAAAAAATAACGTGTACAGGGAGAAACTACCAAATGAAAGCTTTAATTCTTTTCTTATTTTTTTTTCTTTTCTCTTTACTCTTACCAATTGGAAAAATACTACCAAAAATGAGAATAACCTTTTAGACGAGGAAAATAACTAATGAAACAAAACAACCTTGAAAAACAATGAAAATTTTGGAAAAGAGAGGAAAAGAAAAAGAAATTTTGAAAGAAATAAAAGCAAATAATGTCCATGTGGAGAGAGAGCTAGAAAGGGGAATTGCCACGAGGTCACAGAAAGAAACAATACTTTTTATATGTTTTTATTTCCTTTTTCATTTTAAAATTTTCTTTTTATTTTTTCTCTCTTGAATTACTTTGAGTTCACTTTTCCTAAATTTCCAAGTGCTTTCCTAGTCTAAAATATGGTAATTCTCATTTTTAGTATAATAATTATAATTATTAGAAAGAGTAAAGCAGAAAAGAAAAAATAAATAAGGAAAGAATTAAAACATTGACATCTATATAAACAATAGTGTATATGCAAGGAATGAAGTGCCCTCTTTTGACATAAGCTGAGTTAGGCTTTTTATATCGTAAGTTTCCTCTTCGTTGTTCTTTAGTAGTTCTTTGCATTTACTTATTCTCATACCACGCTCTCAAAAATTTATTTGAAAGTATTTTAGCTTAAATTTAGTTCCAAAAGAATTATAATACGTACATGGATAAAATCATATGTTTTAACATAAAAAAGTAAAGAAATTGTTAACACACGTATATTTGTTTGATTTTCTATTAATCTATTTAACTATGTTATGTATTGCTGTTGTTCGAGTTTGACATATATACCAAAAGCAAGAATGTCTTCGTCAAGCAATAGCAAAGAAAACTTGAAGAATAAGTTGGATCAGGTGAGAGAACAGATACAAGAGATGACAAATTACATTGATCACTTACGTAGGATGCAAGAAAATCATGAACATGATACGACGAGAGAAAGATTTGAAGCCACAAATCGTCTGTATGAGTTGAAGGATGAAGAGGACAAGCTCGAAGACCAATTGATAGATCTTCATGGTGTTAGTTACCGCAAATTTTTTTAAATTCGAGTAAATCGTAGATTTTACGGATGCAGGAATTTCATAATTATTTATTACTGGGACTTCATGTTTTATATACTTCCATAGTCACTAGCTACTTTTTTTCCTTCGTATATTAAGAGTAAGAATAGTATACTTTACCTTACAAATGTTATTGCTTGAGACCTAATTTGCCTAATTTATACTACTATTAAGATAGCAAAAAGAGTTACTCTGCGCACTACAAACAACCATTTAATTGTCTTTTTAATTCTACTAATCACACGTTTAACGTTATGCATCGTATGTGACTTATTATTTAGGAAAACATTTAACTAGAAAAATTATCGAGCTCTGTATTGTATGAATTACTAAATAAAACAGCAAAAAGCTAGTCAAAATACAGTTTAAGTATATTAGTTGATGGGAATGGACTGAACAAAACGTATGCTATGTATATGTATCTATATATTGTACTGTTCTATTATTTTCTCTACAATAATGGAATTGATTAACCCTAACTCATACTTCAATCGCTGTTATATATGCATGCACTTGTGAACAAGAACTTTTTTTTGGTTAAAGCAAAATATTCATTAATATTTAATGCAAACTTTAAGAGTAACACATGTTACCATGTAGAAAACTCTCACTGAAAGAAAAAAGTATTTGGTTTCCTTGTATTGTTTCTCATCTCTTTCTAGGTTATTTCCTTATCTTAATTCTGTTGTCACTATGAGAGTTGAGCTGACTACAGATAATATGATTGTTGAGTACTTCTACGACCAATATGTTCTCTTAGATAGAAAATATTACACCATTAGGTCAATCAAAAGATAACTACTTGCAACTAGAGTGTCAACATCGATTGTCAGGTTCGTTTTATTACCCTCATTTAACCTGTATCCACTTTTTAAAAAAAAAGTTTAACTGATACCTACTTTTTGGGTAACTTCATATATATCCGACTAGGATTTCTCCTTCTTCTTCTTCTTAGTTGCAAAATAGGTTTTGTTATATTTGTTATTGTTTTAAAAATTCGATGATTGGAATTTGTTCTTAATGATATTTGAAAGTTATGTTTCAAATTTGAGCTCATTTGGAGTAGATTTGGGAATTGAATCGCATATTGGATTGCTGAAATTCAAAAAACAAGTATATTTTTCTCGATTTCTGAAGTTGCATTTAAGAGATAGAACTACTTAAGATTCAAATTTTCTGAAGTTGTATTTGGAAAGATAGAAGAAAGTTGCATTGAAGAGATATAACTACTCAAGATCCGATTTTCCAAGTTTCATTAGAAAGATACAAGGACTCAGATCCGATTCTGAAGTTGCATTGGAGAGATAAAAGAACTTCAGATTCGAGTGGGTAAATCTTGCAAAATTTTGTGTAATACGGGTATAACTTTTGTTAATTTGAGTGCCCTCCTAAATTACCAAAGACTTTGGTTCTTTACCTAACTTTTTATGTTCAAACAGTATCAACATTATATAAAGAACAAGCAATCTTAACGAAGAAAATCACCCGGTTCAAAGGTGCAAAAACCACGACTTATCACGTAGGGTTTTAAGCTTCAATTTCACTAAAACAAATGAGCCAAATGTGTAGATTACAACTCTTGTAACCCAATGCACCCCCAGACTTCAACTACTCGTGCTTATCGTATGAAAACTACAAGTTACTCTAACCCGTAAACTCAGACAATAATTCAACTAACATCATTTTGAATAAAATATAAATACAACCCAATTCCCTAATCTACATGAACTAGACTGACTCAAGTAACGTATGAACTAACTCCACAGTTTACTCTCCTACACGAACAGACTTGATCAGATGACTTCAAATGTATTGTGGACTGAAAAGCAATGTTCCTTCGTACAACATCGAGATACTTGGGAGTACTAGGCACAATAAAACTTTAGTCATCCTGAGGCCATAAGGACTCCTCAAGTTTCGTAGCTCCTATCCTCAAAGATCTTTAGCCAGCATCCTTATAGCATCAAGGATCGATTCTACAAATATCCGATTGCAGTAACTTTTGATTCGTCCAAAGAAAGTTACTGCCTTGTAAGGAGCCTTTTGCCGTTGTGAGAACCTGGTTCTTAGTAGATGTTCGTTGCAAACACTTGTTAATCATCAAAACACATAACTCAACAAATTCCCATTTTTTGATGATAACAAACATTGCGCTTATGAACTAGGAGAAACCTTTATTATCATGTATCAATCATAAATAATCAGTAAGAATAGGTGAACTAACAATGAACCTTCCCCCATTCTATCTTCCCCTTTTGGCGTCATCGAAAAGCTAGACAAGTGTGATAAACTAAGCAACCAAATAAAATACAAGATTCATGATTACTAGGGTTACATAACGAGCACAAGAAAAATCATACCATAAATGAATCAATTTGATGATATTAGCTATGTCAGAAGCAGGAGAATAACACAGGACTATGCATTAGATAGTGCCAATTAACCCAAAAATTTGATATTTTTATTACTTTTTCTGCTATATAGAATTGATCATGATATCTCATATAGATAGTGCTAACTGGACATATGGATTTTGACTCACGATTAGCTATGCTATGCATGTCCGTAACTACCTCATTCCAATGTTTGGCCAATTAGTCCTCACGATTAGGGCAAAATTTATTTTGTACCTCTATATATTAGTATATTTTAAATTCCTTTGACACAACCCAAAAAGAATAGTTCAATAGTTAAGGGGGTTCAAAATCTTTGAGAGATCACTATTTCAATTCCAACTGGCTACAATCTCTTTTAATTTTTTTAACTTTTTCTTTTTTGAACCTTTTAGCGAAAATTCTGCCTCCGCCATTGTGTGAAGCCATGGGGAGACTCCGGTGGATCTGAATGGAGTTACATCCTGAAAGGTCCAATCAAGGAAAAATTTATTGCTAATGGAGAGATCATAGACTCCATCATGTTCCGAACTGTGGAGACTTAAAGTTAGCATTGATTCACCAAAGTTTGGTGGCAATGGGGGAGCACAAGTACATAGTGACAAGTAGCAAACTAAACAAATAACTTTAGTTTCTCAATACCTATAATAATATGGGTTACTAAAAGAACAAAAAAGGAGACTAGAAATTTTGAAAGTCTCTAGGAAAGAAATGGTTCATTTTTTTTCTTTTTGACTAATCTTCAGTGCCCGGTACTCATTGGCCCGACTAATTCTCTTAATTTACTGGGATTTTGGCATCTCGATGATCTCCACCAGCAGAATCATCGTCGAAATACTTCTTCCAGAACCAATGTTTCTTCCAAGCTCTTTCATTCATTTCATCAATAGGGATTCCTTTAGTCTCAGGGAGGAAGAAATATGCAAAACTTCCCATAATGACTATCCAAACAGCAAAGAAGAAGAAGATCCCAGATCTCATGTGACACAACATTGTGAGAAAAGCTTGAGCTATAATGAAAGTGCAAATCATGTTCATACTAACTGCAAAGAAAAATCCAGCAGTTCTTGTCTCCAATGGGAAAATTTCACTTGGAATTAACCATCCTAATGGACCCCATGACCAAGCAAATCCACTCACAAAAACACATATCAACACAACCACAAAATATGCATAGTTTTTTGGTATTACATTTGTGGCTTTCAAATGCACTGCAAGAATTCCTCCTGTAACACACTGCAACAAAAACCAAAAGAATCAACAAGCAAAACAACAAGATTTACTTAAAACGCATCGACAGTATAAATAATTTATACTATGACGTGGGAGCCCGGTGCACTAAGCTTCCGCTATGCGTGGAGTCCGGGGAAGGGTCGGATCACAAGGGTCTATTGTACGCCACCTTACCCTGCATTTCTGTAAGAGGTTATTTCCACAGGTCGAACCCGTGACCTCGTGTTTACACTATGATGTGGCAAAACAATCTAATATAATGCCAAAACAGGCAAAGGTCACAGGTTCGAGTCTCACTTGAATCCACCAGTATTCAACAAGATTATTTCTACACGCGTGATTCAAGAAAGAAAATCGAGCCAAAACATGAATGTTTGTGCTATGAACACAAGATAAATAAATAAATAGAATATCACATATCTAACAGTTTAAACTTTTATACGAGATCATATCATTATTCAGTGACAAGCTGAATAATATAAAAACCCTTATCTTAGAAAAACCAAGTCGCACGTCGGGGGGCATGTTGTCAACATAAACATAAATAAAATAAAATAAAATAAAATACCTTAGACTCATATTGAAATAGTGGTTTACCTGGGCAACAAGCATTTGAACAGCAGCTTCAATAAGTAAAACTCTTCTTCCAAATTTATCAACTCCAAGTATTGCAACTATGGTTGAAACCACATTAACCATACCAGTAACAATAGCAGATAATAACGACGCTTTTCCGCCGAATCCCATCGTCTGAAATAATACAGGAGCATAGAACATGATAACATTTATCCCAGTAAATTGTTGAAAAATTTGAAGAATTGTACCACATATAAGTTGTGGCCTACTAGATTTGTTCATGAGATTTCTAAATGGTTTTTTGATTTGTTGAGCTAATTCAGTAGCTTGTAAAATCTCTTGATATTCTTTTTCAACATCATCTACACCTCTAATTTTTCTTAAGGCTTGTTTGCCTTGTTCTTTTTGGCCACGTTCAATTAGGCTAGTTGGTGTTTCAACAATGAGAAAAGAACCTAAACCAAGAAATATTGCTGGAACTGCTGCACCACCAAGGGAAAATCTCCAACCATGTGGATGCATTTTTGAAGTTAAATAGTTGACTATATTGGCACATAAAATACCAATTGTGATCAACATTTGGAACAAAATGTTGAGACCACCTCTGTACTTTGCTGGAGCTATCTCTGATATGAATAATGGCACAGCCTGCAATAATTAATACGTGTCATGTGTTAGGCCGAGCGCAAAAAAGCGACAAGGTTCATGGTGCTTGAAGCGGGGAAAGAAAAGGGCATCCGCCTCTCTATCCATGCAGGGTCCGGGTAAGGCCGCAAGGGTGTAAATGTAGACAGCGTACCCTATGCAAACATTAATGGCTTGAAGTGAAAACACATAAAAAAAAAAAACAAGGTTCACGACGTTAAAAATTACCAAACGTATATGAATTTAGAACTATAATGAGCAAATTGCAATTAATATAACTAATTCCAACATTCGATATACATTTTGATCCAACTCCTCGAAGTTGAGATTCATAGAGCCGACTGTTTCTTGCAAGGCTAATTTTGCGCATTATTATTTGAAGCATATACTTCTGTGAAAGAAGCATGGCTTCAACCATGAAGCTATATCCCCTCGCTTCACATTGCTTCATCGCTTTATGCAACGAGGCAATGGCTTTTAATAACACTAGGCACAGTTTTGAGATAACCTATATTGCTTCTAGGGTGGCAATTTGATCCCAAATTCTATTTTTTGTTTTTTTGTACTACCCACTCATCCTACCCCCACCCCCACCTCGCACAAACCCCCTCTAATTTTTTCTTTTTTTTACTTTTTTATTTTGTATTCTTAATTTTCTGTTTTTTTTTTTTTTTGTTTTTTTGCACCACCCACCCACCGTACCCCTAAATTTTTTTTCAACTTACACATTAAGGTAAAAGACTTTTTTGTGCAAGATGAGCGTGGTTCTAAAACATGGGTCAAGTTGGCGCCGGTTGGGTTATGACCCATTGTTTAGCCCATCTTGACCCAGTCCATGTTAGCTCAAGTACACTTTGGGCTGGGTTGGGCAATGACCCATTTATTGACCTAACCCATCTTGACCAGCCCAAATTCAGCCCAACCCGCCCATTTGCCACCCCTAATTGCTTCCTATGTACACAAAGTCTTAATTACCTTCTAATCATGATTAAATGATAAACCTATAGTTTCCTATATATGTATAAAAATTCTTATCACTTAATTATGATTAATTAATATATATTCCTATTTTATTTTAGCTATTACTGAATTTGACACATCAGTTTTTAAAATATTGGCAAAGCTCCTTTGGCTATCATGACATAATAAGTTAGCACGTATACAGCTTCTTTTTTTTTTTTTTTTTAAACCACAGAACGGACAGAAAATCAACCAAAACAGACTTTCGGTCATTAGATTCCTAGACTATATTTTATTCTGTATTATTTGTTGATTATATAACAGCTTGTTTGGATGGTTGTTATCTAATGTATTATATCATATTATTACTTCAAATACAATATGTATTTTAAATATTATTTAAATTTTATTGTATCTTATAGTTATATAATTACTCTACCTTGTACCCTATTTTTTCTTTATAGTATTATAAGAGCCGGTTTGGATTAGCTTATTTGAAATAGCTGATAAACATTAGGTGCTGAAAAGCACTTTTAAGTGCTAAACTGATTTAATAAATAAGCAGTTACGTGTTTGGGTACAAGTGCTGAATTGATAATATGTTGCTACAGTATTTGATAAAAAAGTGCTGATAAGCTCTTTTTCTATTATAATGACTTAAATAACCTTAGAACTGTTTACACTTATAAGGGCGTAATTTCTTCAAAATTTTAGAATCCAGATCGATTCAAATACAAAAGATTCTATTTATCATTTTATTTTAAATACTATTGTGCTTAGATAAGATAATTTTTATGATAAATAATTTATTTTATGATAAGCATATAATCATAAGTATAATAATTAATAAATTGACAAAAGTGTCTCAGTAAAAAATAAACCTAAATAGAACAAGTTATTTGAAGAGAACAAACATTGTTTTCATCACCACAACACGAAAGCAATACACCAAAAATTTGTTATGTCCTCATTTATTACATATAGTTCAAAGATTAATACACAATCACATAGATATAAGTATGGAAAGGAATAGAGAATTTGCTTATCATAAATAGTCAATGAGAATTGCATACTTGAAGAGGTGGGGAGGGGGGCGGGGTTAGGTTAACGTTGAATATTTGAGGTAGTGAATATCGATGTAGGAGTTTTGTTCTAAAAAGGAATATTTTAAGGATAAAATAGTAAAAATCTTGGTCAACTTAAAGTGCTTATAAGCTAGAAATTCATAAGCTAAGCTGGGGGTGACCAGCTATGGCTTTTGGCTTATTTTTGACTTATAAGTACTTTTAACTTTACCAAACGCGTAGGTAAGCCGAAAAGTGCTTATAAGCTAGTTTGATCAGCTTATAAGCTTAGCCAAACACCCTCTAAAAATAGCATAAACAACAATTGCACATCTAAATGTGTATTCCCATTTAAAATATTATTCATAATTCATGTTAAACTAGTGTAATTGTTCCGCGCTTCCCGCGGCCAGAAAAATTTAAATATAATTTAATAATGTGATAATAATTTTAATAAAAAAATAATTTTTACAATTGAGACATCTTAATTAGCTTTTGTTATTCTATCATAATTTCATGATTATTTTAATATCCTATAAAGTTTCTTTGACAGAAAGAATATATGAGAAACATTTTAGGTTAAATATTGGAATATGTGAGAAACATAGAAAGATAAAAATATAATGACAAAAATGGTAATGTTGTAATCTTGGAGTTATAAACCTGATATATGCCACCCGCTTATTAATTCTTCCTCTCAAGTCTTCCTCTTAGAATTTTCTTAATATGAATTGTTGACACTTATATTTCATAAGATTTGATATATTTTTTAGTTTTCTTCAATTTTTAANTATTGATAGTAATAATTCCTGAATTATTACAATGACATTTTACCTGGTTCATTAAAATAAAATATATGATGTGTAAACCATGTGCTTAATCTGAAATTGAATGAACTCATATTCGTTGAATGTAGTGGTATAAAATACTACCAAGATTATGATATAAAATAATCTTGGGATTACTTGTCATGAAACCGTAAAACCCAACCATACACTAGATAAAATATTCTCACATTTTATTTTGGAACTAATTAATTTCTTTATGACTATTTAGAAACACTAAATAAACCCTAAGGATAATAGACAAAATTGTAATAAAAGAAATATTTTTATAGGTATCATATTTTAAGATATATAGAAATTATCTTTCTTAAAATCATGGTTGTTATAGTAATTTTTTTGTGCGAAAAATAAACCTACACGTTCTCCTGTAAATAAGAAGGAAAGAATTTAAAAAAAAAAAAAAAGTAAAACTAAGGAATAATTTTGGTGTAAACTAAGAAGAAAAAATGTTGAAAATAAAACTAAGAATAATATCGGTCTAAAATAGTCTCCGGCCAGAAGTTTGAAAAGCGCTCGTGGCAATCGTCAAAATTTCTCATATGGTGATCACCAGGATTTGCTGCATAACGTAATAATCGCCAGAATTGTTCATATGGTGATCACCAGGATTTACCATAAAAAATGGCAATCGCCAGAACTTTTTCATATGGGAAAATTCTAGCACGCTTATTTTCTCAAGATTTTTCTTACACAAATAGCTAGTCATATTCAATGTTTACTTTTTCTAGCCATATACACAGATTATACACAATTATAATATGTAATACATACATTATGCATATATTATACCCCATAGCGTAATTTTGTGTGTTTTAGATCATGCATGTATTTTACTTGCATTATCAACTCCTGTGACGAATTGATAATGTTTAGTACACTTTATGTATGTCATTTTGATAATGTAAAATTTGTAGTATTTGTTTGCAAGAGTGAGTGAATATGGTGAGTATAAACAGGCCAGAAATAAAAGGAGAAGAAAAAGCAGTTATTTTAACTGTCAAAAACCCAATATCCGAATTTCACTCTTCTTATTTACTGCCATAGACTCGGGACACATTATTCTACCTGTAGAGGCGGATCTAATATCATAACATTGGTTGTGGCTGTACTCATTGTTTTCGACTCGAATTATATCGACACATAAATACAATTAAAAAAAGGTAGATATACACATAGTATATAATAAACTGCTAAATCCTTAATATCATTTTCTTACTTTCTTCTAATTTCTAGTGTGTTTATCTTCTTTTTACGCGAGAAAACTCTTCATGCATGTTTGTGTAATTATGCAGCAAAGAGGATAAATTTAGTATAAGAGAAAAGAAAATTTGTCATTCTTGAAACAATCAATTGCATTTTAGACTTTTAGTCTTAACTCTCTAGGTATATATGGCATTTGTGAAACTTGGCTCTAAATCTGAGGCATTTCGTCGCGAAGGCCAAGCTTGGTAAGCCCCTATTTCTTTCTCTTTAATTTTCTGCTGGTTTAGATTTGCATCTTCCCTTCCAATAATCATTGCTTCTATAGGCTCTAATGGTATTTTTTGGCGTAGAAATGACACCAGGTAGCCACTCTAAAGAGTTGTTATTTAGGAATTACCCAGTGCGTCTTAAATTTCAATTTTTCAGGACAAAAATGAGCCCGTTTAGATTCGCTGATTTGAAGTAGCCGATAAGCATTATGTGCTGAAAAGCACTTTTAAGTACCGAAACTGATTTAATAAATAAGTAGTTACGTGTTTGGATACAAGTGCTGAAATTGATAATAAGCTGCTGCGGTATTTGATAAAAAAGTGCTGATAAGCTCTTTTTCTATTAAAATGACTTAAATAACCTTAGAATTGTTTACACTTATAAGGGCGTAATTTCTTCAAAATTTTAGATTCCAGATCGATTCAAATACAAAATATTCTATTTGTCATTTTATTTTAAATACAACTGTGCTTAGATAAGATAACTTTTATGATAAATATAATTTATTTTATGATAAGCATATAATCATAAGTTATAATAATTAATAAACTGACAAAAGTTTCTAAGTAAAAAATAAACCTAAATAGGACAAAATGTTTGAAAAGAAACAAACACTGTCTTCATCACCGCAACACTTAGAAAGCAATACACCAAAAATATAATATGCCATCATTTATTACATACAGTTCAAAGATTAATACACAATCACATAAATACAAATATGCAAAATAATATAGAATTTGCTTATCTTAAATAGTCAATGAGAATTGCAGCTTGAAGAGGCGGGGGGATGAGGGGGGAGGGGGGCGGGGGGGTTTGAAACAATACTTGAGGCAGTGTGTATCGATGTAAGAATTTCGTTTCAAAAGAATATTTTAAGGATAAAATAGTAAAAATCTTGGTCAAACTTAAAGTGCTTATAAGCTAAAAATTCATAAGCTAAGCTGGGGGTGACCAGCTATGGCTTTTGGCTTATTTTTGACTTATAAGTACTTTTAACTTTACCAAACGCGTAGGTAAGCCGAAAATGGCTTATAAGCTAGTTTGACCAGCTTATAAGCTTAGCCAAACACTCTCTAAGTTTATTTTTTAGATTGCCGATGCATTATGACTTACAACAAAAAATAATATAATCTATTTATATGTTGTATTCATTAAAAAAATACAACACAATACAATATATTATGTAACGATATGCAACAACCGTCCAACAGATTGTAAGTGGAAATTAAAATAAAATTACCTGGTTGCCAAATCCAACACCAGCACCAAGACAAAGCCGTCCAATGATAAGCATAGGCAGATTCATAGCAGCAGCATTAAGGATAACTCCAATAAAGAAGAACAAAGAGGCAAGTTGCATTGTAATTTTCCTACCAAACCTCTTACAACACTTTGAGGCAAAGAAACAACACACAATTGCAGCTAAGTATAATGAAGATGTGAACAACTGCAACATTTGGTTATCATATTTACAGTAGTTGTCTTCTTTAGCCCTATGCTTTCTAACATAGACTTTTGGGAAGAACTTTTCCAAGAAATCATCCATTGATGTCACCCCACCTGCACAAATCCATACATAACTAGAACTTGAGTTTTAGTTTTAATTTATGCATATAACAAAATATTTGTCACTAATTACAAGTAAATTTCCTAATATGCATTAATTGGCCAGTAATCTAGTAAAATTGATAAATACCTGCTAGGTTACAATTTTTAGTATAAAAGAAATTTTTATACTGACATTGTATATAACTTAAATCCATTGGCGTTATCATGCCACTTGACGTGAATGTATCAAAAAAAAATGACTTTATGTTCTATGCAATGATGGTGTGAAAAAACATTGTATTTACACAATCAGATCACAAATCTCCATGATAATCATTATAACATGTGTTGTAACGGTTAAACTACGCTATTTATGTAAATTAAGCCCCCGTTTGTCTTTAAAAAATATTTTCTTTCTATCAAAAAATGTGTTTGTCCGTGAAATTTTGTAAGTTTTTGGAAATTTTTCGAAAATGAGTTTTTTGAAAGACCAAAAAGTTTTTCAAAATTTTCAAAAAAACTTTTTTCCACTCACAAAACTGCAACATTTTTTCAAGTGAAATGCATTGTATAGAACATAATTTCAATTTTCAAATGCATTTTTCAACTTAACTCCAAATAGTACTTTTTTTTTCAAAAATTATAATTTTTATATCCAAACGCCTAGTAAGTGTGTATAACTTAAACCCTTATAATATATGTATTGACCATAAATTCTCAACAAATTTTGCAAGAATATATGTTTATACACATGCGATATCAGGTTAAATTGACCTACAAATATTTCAATTTTCAAGCAAGAAAGATTTTACCTGAAATTCCAATATCATAGCCAAACATAAGACCACCAAAGGCTGCAATAATAGAACAAATCACAACCTGTCCAGTCAGTTTTGCAGGAAACTCATCATCCTTCTTGTCAAAGGCCATAATAGGAGGCATATTTGGTTTCTCTTTTATAATTTGTTTTCTTCAAAAACAAAAAACATAAGAAAGACTCACTTTCTCTCACACTTCTTGTTTCTTGCTTATTTTCTGCTCAAAAGATTGTCAATGGCATTTTCAAGAATCACAAAAGCGGCTGATAGAATATATACATAATATATAAGTAGACGTGCATTTGTGTTTTACTAGAACTATAACATAATAACTGCATGAGACATAATAGCAGTATTTGTTCCTATTTTCCGAGTGAGGATTAAATAGCACTTTTGGTCCCACATTGATTAGTAAATTCTGATTTTAGTCCTTCTGATATTTTGAAATGTTCACTTTTGAGATCCCTATTCTTGTGAAATTTTACAGATTTCGTGGGCGTTTGGACATAAGAACTGTAAAATTCTAAAAAAAAAAAAAGTGATTTTTTTTTCAAGTGAAAATGGTATTTGGAAATTAGAGTTGTATTTGGACATGAATAAAATTTTGGGTTCTTTTTGAATTTTTGTGCGTGATCTGAGTGACAATTTTGAAAAATAACTTTTTGGAGTTTTTCAAATTTTCGAAAAATTCCAAAATTCATCTTCAATTGAAAATTGAAAATTTTATGGCCAATCACTGATTTCGAAAAAAAGTTAAAATTTTTCGAAAAAAGTGAAAAATTCTTATATTAACTACATTAAATTATTTAATTGTTCATATATTATGTTAAATTTATATATTTTTTTTAATATTTTGCAGATAATTATAGTTTTTTTGGTCATAGATAATTATAGTTCTATAAAATAATCTAGATATAAGATATTTCTTATATTAAAAGGACAAAAGTCAAACATTTTAATTAGTAAAATATTAAAGGTGACTAGCCAAAAATTAGAAGGACCAAAATGAGAATTTATCAGAAATTGTTGGTTTCCGATTTGGATTAATCTTCTTTTCCTTATTTTAGTGAAATACGATAGCGCCACGCAGGAAATGAATGAGTGGATAGACGTGTTGATTAAGCAAACGAAACAGCTTAGAGGGTGTTTGGCTAAGCTTATAAGCTGGTCAATCTGGCTTATAAGCACTTTTTGATTTATCTACGCGTTTGGTAAAATTAAAAGTGCTTATAAGTCAAAAATAAGCCAAAAGCCATAAGTTGGTCTTCCCCAACTTATCAAATTTCAGCTTATAAGCAGTTTAAGTTTGACCAAAATATTTACTATTATATCCCTAAAATACTTCTTTTTAAAACAAAACTCATCGTATTCCCAGTTCGTTAGCTGCATATTATTAATTTTAGCACTTTTATCCAAACACGTGACTGCTTATTTTTTAAATCAGCTTCAGCACTTAAAAATGTTTTTCAGCACCTAATGCTTATCAGCTACTCTAAATCAGCTAAGCCAAATGGGCTCTTAATCTTTCTAAATCTCTACTAGCTCTTAAACTCTAGTAAAGACTGGATAAATATTTTGCCCTCATATCTGATTTGGATTTTTATTTTTTTCCCTTGCAATGAGATTTTTAAATTTAAACTCAAGCTGGTTTTCTTATACTTGTGTACGGAAAATACTTACCCCTATCATATTAAACAATCTATCTATACAACAACAGCAACAACATACTACAAGTGGAGTCTGGGGAGGGTAGAGTGTACACAGATTCTGGTAGGCCCTCAGCTCAGGAAGGGGAGAGGAGAGGGGCAATAACAAGCAAACCGATCTGACGACCTAAGCAAAAATACAAAACTAGCAGTAGGTAATGCAATCAGAAAATTGAAACATAAGATAACAACAAGTAGTAACAGAAGTATAGGGATACGAAAAAAATACAGAAGACACCAAGTGGTGTATCAAAGCTACTTCTACAAAGTACAAACAAGGACAACACTTGGCCACCTAACCCTTTACCTTTATTCTCAGCCTCCAAATAAACTTGTTCTCGTTAACACCGCAATGCGTCTCGTCAATCAGTAGAATGTCATCTGCAAATAACATGCACCACGACACCTCCCCTTGAATGTAATGCGTCAGCGCATCGATCACCGGGGCAAACAGGAATGGGCTGGGGGTTCACCTCTGATGCACCCCATCACAACAGGAAAGTGTTTCAAGTCCCCTCTTATTATCCTTACCCGAGTCCTAGCACCCTCGTATATGTCCTTAATATCCCTAATATATATAATAGGAACACCTCTAGCCTCCAAATATCTCCACAGCACCTCCCTCGGAACTTTATCATAAGCCTTCTCTAAGTCGATGAACACCATATGTAAATCCCTCTTCCTCTCTCTATACTGCTCCATCAACCTCCTAACAAGGTGAATAACTTCTATAGTCGAACACCTCGGCATAAATCCGAATTGGCCTCTGAAATAGACACAATCCTCTTCACCCTCAGCTCCATCACCCTCTGCCATACTTTCATGGTATGGCTCGGTAGCTTGATACCCCAATAGTTGTTGCAATTTTGGATATCCCCCTTGTTCTTATACAACACGATCATCATACTCCATCTCCATTCCTCGAGCATTGATAAGTAGGGATTTTGACTACTTATTTGCACTCTTTTACTTTCGTTTTAGCTCAAAATTGCTTAAATATATTCCCGAAAACTAATCAAATGTGCTTGCTTTCAGGAGTGTTAGAATATGAGCTAAAGAGATGAAAATCAACTCAGGAAGGAGTAATTTTTTATAAGGACAAAAATAAGGCTAAAAGGGCACTGTGCGGACCGCATAATATTAAGTGCGATCGCAGATCATGAAGAAAACCTCTTACAAGAAATGCTTTGCAAAGTGCGGACCGCACAATTCTGGTGCGGCCGCAGAAGATAAAGTTTAGAGAGATGGGATTTTAAGGTTAAGAAGAAATGCGGACTGCACCATTTTTGTGCGGCCGCATAATCGAGATCGCGGCCGCACTCATAAATGTGTGGTCCGCCGAAGTCCCACAATGCCAAAGCAAAAGCTCAAGGAGTGTGGACCGCACTATAATTGTGCGGCCGCAGGGACAATTTTTCAGATATTTTCAGCTTACTATAAATAAAAAATTTGTCATTTTTAGGTTAAGTTTTGTAAGTTCAGAGCACTTGAGCTGTTTTTATTTACTGTATTGGGTAACATTGTTCTAGATTAGCTTTTAAACATTAAATTTTCTTTCCTTAATCAAGTATTATGAATTCTATCTTAGTTTCTTCTTTAATTTCTTTATTTCCCATGAGTAGCTAAACCCTTAGCTAGGGTTGTGACTCAACCCTAGTATGGGTGCTTAGTGGGTAGTTTATTTATGGCTTATTTATGATTGGGTTTATGATTTAGCCTAGTTCTTGCTTGAATTTGAAAATTGATGGTTGCAAACATTGATTCATGCCTATTTGACTTAGTCTCTACTTGAGAAAGAGAGACTAAGTCTAGGAAAAATTGGCTAACAAGTAATTGGGGTGAACTCAAGAAATTGATAGCCCCAATTAAATGGTCAAATCTAGAGATAGTAAGATCCGACTTGAGCATATATCACTTGTTTTGTGAAATATCCATTTGGACTTGAGAAAGCCAAATCAGGCAAAATCACTCAAACTACTGAGAGGTATAGAGTGAGTAAATGTGTGTGATTGTATATTGTATCCCGATCAACCAAACATGCCCTACAGCTCTTAACCCGGTAGGTATCCATCTAGGCGGTAGTTACAATCCTCGATCTTTCATAACTTGAAAAACAACCAAAATCAAAAATATTATCTCTTAGCTCTACTATTACAATCAATAGTTTAAAAAAGTATAAGTAGAAACAACAATTGAAAATGTGGAAGTGTAATTTGAGGCACATCATACATTCACACTAGGTGTATACCCAATCCAAAATCTAACTCCCTGTGGATTCGACCCCGACCTGCGTTGGATATTTATTATTGCTTCGACCACCTCACACCTATATTTGTGGTGTGAGTTTGGGCGACATTAATTTTTGGCGCCGTTGCCGGGGAGTTAAACGGATTTAGCTATATATCTAGGTTTTTGTGTGATTTGTCTTCTTTTCCTTCTGAGTCACTAACTTTGTTTTTGAATTGATTTTAGGTACGAGAATGGCTCTCAACAACGAGCCCATCGGGAATCTGCCAATGGGGGAGGATGCCTTATGCCAAAGCTTGTGAAATTTTGGATTAGATGGCGGATACCTCATTGGCATGGAAAAGTAGAGCCAATGTTCCTCAAGGTGACCCAAATGTCATTCACCTACACAAGGAACTACATGATCATGGGCAAGATATTGACGAGTTGACAACCACAATGAATCAATTGGCCAAATCTCAGCTTCAACAAGTTCAATGGCCGAAACAAGTGAATGCGATGGAAGGTGTGAATATGATGATGAACAAGAGACGACAAAAAGGTCAACAAATGCAAAGCCATCCGGAACAATTCATGCAAGATGATAGTGGATATGACCAGGGTGATTCGTTTAATGAGCAAGAAGAAGAATTGCAATATGTCAACAATTATCAAGGCCAAAGAAACAATACTCAAGGACAAAATCAACAACAATGGCTGTCACAAGGAAATCAAGGAAATTGGAACAACCAAGGCCACCAAGGCAGTTGGAGTGGTGGTAACAATAATCAAGGCAATTGGAATAATCATGGTAACCAAGGCAATTGGGGTGGCAACAATCAAAGAAATTGGGGAGGCGATAACGAAGGAGGGTGGAACAACAACAACAACCGGGGGTCAGGTTTTCAAAGTCCCCCGATGTTCCAACAACCTAGAAATCCACCTCCCTATCCTCCTCAAGGTCTGAGCTCTTCTAACAATGAGATGGGTAGAATCGGGAACATGTTTAAACAGATAATGGAGAAGAATGCCGACTCCGATGCTCAACTAGCCTCTCACAACACTTCTATTCGCAATTTGGAAGTTCAATTAGGCCAAATCTCTCAAGCTTTGAACACTCGTCCTAAAGGGGAGTGATACGGTGGTGAACCCAAAGGCTGGAAATAATACTGGACATGATATGGCTGTAACTACAAGAAGTGGAAAAAGTGGAGATGCAACCACCTCAAATCAAAGAAGAATTATGGATGATGATATTGTGGTTCCAGAAGATGAAATCCCAAGCAATGTGGT